TCACTCATCTCACAGAGTGTTTGTTGTGGGGGAGGAAGGGAAGGGAGAATGTTAGCCACATTGAGACTTCTTAGGGTAGTGATAAAGCGGGATATCAAATCCAAACTCTTTTTCTTTCCTCAAAAAATACTTTTTCTTGTCCTTGGTTTCCACCAATTGGGTTCCAAAGACTCCCCTAACAGTTTAGCACCAAAGAAAGGCAAGGTCACGAGACGAGACTGAGTAGCAGCATCCACTGCCCACTGGCGTAATGAAACATTCCTGCCAGCTACCATGGAGGAAACTAGGGAATGAGGTGCATATTGCATATCTGCAAGCTCAGATGCATAAGCCATAAAAGAAAGCTCAACAACTTTGCCAAAATAACGTTTGTGTCTGGATTTTCACATTTTGAAATATGGCAACCCTACATCTGATAGAATAATGGAAGAAGATGCTAGGGCAGCTGTTGGAGGATCCACCACTGGATTCTTTAGACTGTTCATAATCCTATCTGCAAAGAGGTAGTGTTTCTTAACTTCCTTAGAAGACAGCTTAGCCTTACTAGGGATATTCCATTATGCACCCCAAATCTCATCAAAGGCTTTTGAGAATGGAATGGTAATGAGTTTGTGATTAGCAGAGGGAAAAGCCTCAGAAGCTCCAATGCCCCCAAGGGCTGAATGTTCAGTAGAGTTCACTGGCTTTTCCTCATTTAACTGTAACATGTGTCTGGCCTTAGCAAGCAAGGCCATAAAAACAGAAGTAGTAAATAGTCTAGGTTGAGGCTTCACAGTAATGACTTTCTCCTCAGACAAGTCCCCCTCCACCTTATCTGACTTCAAGTGTGATCTATCTGAGTCCAATAGTTTCCCCTGCATGACCACATATTCCGGGCAAACTGTGTCCATTAATTTAGGAGGTCTGAGAGCCAATGCAATCCGATGTAGCTGTCTTTTGGCTCACCACCTACTCTTACTCCACCTGATGGATTGCAACCTGTCCCGTCCCAACCTCCACCCAAGTCCTTTTGGGAAGTAAGGGAGGTCTATTAATGAAAGATGTTTGGCTGTGTTTGAAACAAGAGTAATAACAAGCAAGTAGTAGGTCCTCTGTGTAGATAAGATGGAGAGAAGGCAGAACTGCTCAATACCTACTTTGCCTTTGCCTTCACCCAAAAGGAAAGCAGTGCCCAACCTGTGATGACAGAATAAATGATGCAAGGAGGGAGCTGCCACCCAAGATAGGAAAAGAGGTGGTAAGGAACAGTGAGCTACTTTAAATGAATTCAAATCTCCAGAGTCCAATGAGCTGCCCTCAAGAGTACTAAAGGATCTGGCAGATATAATCTCACAGCCTCTATAATCTTTTAGAATTCTTGGAGAATGGGTGAGGTCCCTGCAGACTGGAGGCGGGCAAATGTTGTCCCCATCTTCAAAAGGTGAGGGGAGACTTCTGGGGAGAAAATGGTGGGATGTCTGTCTTTCTGTTGGCTCTCCACTGGCAGAAGATAATGACGTGGTGATTGATGGTAGTCAGAAGAAGGTCTGGCTATCAAATGACTCTGGGGGGGAAGAGTATTTGAGGGAGTAATCTCAAATGCTCTGATCAAAACTGTTTTCTGCTGTCTGTGCCTGGGGGCTTAGATGGGACTAAAACAAGCTGGTTTGCATTCAAAGACCACATAAGAACCCTTCATAGGTATAAGGTTTGCATCTCTTACTTAAACATTTTTTGGACAAGATAAGCTGTAACTTCTCTCTAATTTCCTGTAATTTCTCTGCCTACTGATGAAAACTCACAGTTGGAAAACTTGTAAGGCTGCTTTCTGTCTTTAAGAAGAGAGTGTCTAAAGCAAAGCAAAAATCCTGATTTATGGTTGACCATAAAGATTAAATGAATGAGGGAATTCTCTGTGTGAAACATATTTGTTTCTTTTTCCTCTTTTGAAAACAAAAATATTGCTGAGAAACTAAAAGTAATTTGGCCATTACTTCCTCTGTGGGAAAGAATCTTGTTTTGACTGTGATCTTAAGGTGAAAATCTTAAGGTAGAGTTGAGACATATAAACATCCAGTATGGCGAAGGTATCTTTGGAGCTACCAGTGACTGTTGGTATTGCTTGGCTGTTGATGACTGAACAATTAAAAATGACCAGATCAACGTTTGATGAAGGGGGAAAGAAAATAAATCAGAGAGACTTGAACTGAAAAACGGAACTGTCGATGACATTGAAACTTCAGGCAAGATTGATGAAAAGCTGGCAGGACTGGATGATGAAATGGCAAAATTGGAGAAAGCAGATGGTAAAATGGAAATGCCTTTCATACAAGGGTTTGGAGAAGAAGGGCAAGATAAAACCATAAATGGAGACATGAAGAGTCACCTGGATTTGGCATCGATAGAGCTGAGAGAGAAAAATATTTTGGAAAAATTTCCGTCCTGGCTCTTCTTCAGTTTTAGCAGAGAGAAAGCACTGTGCATACGATCTGAAGTGAATTTGGAGAATGATGTCACTAAATTTATGGTATACTCCCTGGAAAAAGATTGGAAGAAATGGAAGGTTCAATCCTAGAGGATATTGGAATACTATACACAACAGAAAATGGAAATACAACAGGAAATGGAAACTGAATATACTGAACTGGGTGTGAATTAAAGGATATATAACAAGAAAAGAATTATGGAATATTATTTCAATATGTGATTTTAACATGGGCACAGATGGAAGAATTTACTATTACTCGAGATGGAGACATGGTTGTGGGAATTACTGGAGGCATTACTGGAGGGAATTACTGATATTAAAGTAAAAACACAGTTGACATTTACAACTAATAATAATAATTTAGGATCCGCTCTTGGAATTTTTGTGGAAAAGTTATGAAGTATTCTGAGACACTTGGATTTAAAAGAAATATTGTTTAACAGAAAGTGGAGAAGATGGATGTTATCATGGAGTGAATGTATTTTTAAAAAATGTAACTGGAAGGTGAAAATCAGAATTTTTCTTTGTTTCTTTTCTCTCTCTTTTTCCTTTCTTCTTCCTTTTCTTATCCTTGTTTCTCTTGTTCTTTCCCCTTCCTTTCTTCTTTGCCTGGGGCCTTTATTATGGTCCAGAGATTGTAAATGCATTGGGGTAGTAGATGTTTGATGGGGGGACTCTAGTGGGAGACATGGAAAGGAAAGGAGAAACAAAGATCCCAGGTGAGAGCTGGAATGCGCTACTACCTTCTGTGCATGTTAAGGGTTAAAAACTACCTTTAATAGAGGACTCCATACTCTGTTTTAACTTTTTGTAGCTGTTTTTGTTTTATTTACATTAGTTTTCTGTATCTTCTTGTATCATGAATAAATTTTAATAAAAATCATAACAGCAGTGGGGGAGAAGACCCAGGTAGCCACCGACTGGTTTGACATCAATACCAGGAATAGTCCTAGCACAGATAATCAAATGATTGGTCTGTGAGCACTTAGAAAAGGATAATTACTAAGACTCAGCATGAGCTTCTCAAAACAAGCTATGTCAGACAAATCTCATTTCTTTTCTTTTTATAGAGTTACAAGCTTGGTGGGTCAGGGGAATGCTGTGGGTGTAGTGTATAGTGATTTCAGTAAGGCTTTTGACTAAGTCCCCCATGATATTCTTGTGGAGAAACTGGTAAAATGTAGGCTGGGTGAGGTAACTGTTAGGTGGATTTGTAGCTAGTTGACTGACTGAATCCAAAGAGTGCTAACTAATGGTTTCATGTCATCCTGGAAAAAAGTGATGTTGGGTATCTCAGGGTTCTGTCCTGGGCCCATTGTTGTTAAATGTTTTTATAAACAACTTGGATTAAGGTATTGAGGGGATGCTCATCAAATTTGCAGATGACACCAAACTGGGAAACGTAGCCAAAGCTACAGGACGGAATCAGAATTCAAGATGACTGGAGAACTGGGCCCAAACTAACAAAATAAATTCCAGGAGGGACAAATGTCAGGTACTACACTTAGGTAGGAAAAACCAACTGCAACAATATAAGATGGGGGACGCTTGGTTTGCCAGTAGTACATGTGAAAAGGATCTAGGGGTCTTATTAGACCGCAAGCTCAACACGAGTCAACAGGGTGAAATAATTGTAGCACTCTATTCTGCCTTTGTCAGACCACCTGGAGTACTGTGTCCAGTTCTGGAAATCACAATTTAAGAAGGATATTGACAAGCTGGAACACGTGCAGAGGAGGGTGACCAAGATGACCAAGAGTCTGGAAACCAAGGAATAGTTGAGGGAGTTGGATATGTTTAGCCTGGAGAAGAGGAGACCGAAGTTAGCCAACTTCAAATATATAAAAGGCTGTCTCACAGATGATAGAGCAAGCTTGTTTTCTCCTGCTCTGGAGGCTAGGACCTGAAGCAATGGATTGCTGTTACAAGAAAAGAGATTTTGAATAAACATCAGGAAACTTTCTGACAGTATGAGCCCTTCAACAGTGGAACGAACTCCCTCAAGAGGTTGTAGGCTCTCCTTCCTTGGAGGTTTTTAAGCAGAGGTTGGATTGTTATCTGTCAGGGATGCTTTAATTGAGATTCCCGCATTGCAGGGGGTTGGACTACATGACCCTCAATGTCCCTTCTAACTCTCCTGTTCTGTGTTTCACTGCAGGCTTGCCTAGCCCATATTCTGAAGTACATTGGAGAGCTTGTGCTCAATCAACAATGGTCAGCTCAGGTCAATGATGTTACATTGGCAGGACAAATTATGCGATGTTTGCCAAACTTAGCTTTGGACCTGGCAAAGATACTTGCTGGTTTCTCTCAGCACGTAGCATGTGATAACTTCCTCAATGAAATTTAAAAAAAAATAAAATTGTCCAGTAGCACGTTAGAGACCAACTAAGTTTGTTCTGATACCCAGAACAAACTTAGTTGGTCTCTAATGTACTACTGGACAATTTTTAATTCATTTTATTTATTTCAACTGCGTCAGACCAACATGGCTACCTACCTGAATCTCCTCAATGAAGTTATTGAACAAGGAGTGTAGCTCAGTGGTAGAACATCTGCTTTGCATGCAGAAGGACATAAGCTCAATTTCTGGCATCACCAGGTAGAGCTGGGAATGTCCCCAGCTTGAAACTCTGGAAAGCCACTGGCAGTCAGTGTTGAACTAGATGAACCAATTGTCAGATTTGGTGTGAGGGACCTTCCTATGTTCTTTTCATAGCAAGAATCTCTCACCCCGTTGCTGAATGCTTGCCTCTAGAGTAATAAAGGAAACAAGTGACAAACAAAAACGTCACATTTTGTGGTTTTGTTCATAAGGTTAACCTGATTGGATTTGCAGTAAGGAATTGCTGTTTGATGTTTCACAGCTTCTCTCCTTCTTTTGTTCTACTCAGCGCCATTTATTTAGAATTTATAAAGCAGCTACCCATGATGAAAATACTATAAAATCATTGAAAGTGCTAAAATCATTAAAGTGCTAAAATCATAAAATGCAGAACAAATGGTCAACGCTGAATCAAATTAACTCTCTGAAAACACTTAATGACGCAAAAATGTTTTCATTGAGTGGGGCGATATCAGAACTGGAGGTGCCTGTCTGATTAAATAGGAACAAGGTTGTAAAATGCTGATCACACAATGGGAAAAGCTGTAGTTCACACAGAAACCAAATATGAGATACCTGTGGGGAAGACAGGAGGGCTTCTTCTGATGCAGTGATTTGACTGGTGTATAAAGCACAAGGCTGTTCTCTAGGTAGCCTGGTCCTGGGTTGTTTATACTAACAACATTTCCTTGAACTTCGCTTAGTAAACTACAAGCAGCTAGTGCAGATCTGCTATGGCCAAAAGGTAGCCTGTAGCATCCTGCAGCAGCTGCAATTTCCAAACCAACCTTATGGGTCATCTCAGCCCCTGTAATGTTGATCAGCTTGAAGAATACCAACTTTCCTAGTTTTGGTCTCTATGGATGAGCCAAGGATTGAAATGGGGTCCTTTGCTGTTCCAGAATGACCTTAACAGTATTCATTCCCTAGTCTACTGAGGTGCAATTTTAAAATCAGGGTCTTCTAATATGTAATCACAGCTTGGCATGAAAATACACTAAGGTAACTTCCAGATGAGCAGTTTGATGTACATTCAGCCTGATTTATTTGTGGAGCAATTAGATGACACTGGCTGTTTAATGAGCATTCATCCTGATTCAGTTGTGGGAGAAATAGATGGTGTTGTGGAATACCAACTGGAAACCGAGTGTCACCATTATCCTATATTTCCTAAAGCAAATTCCTACCACTTTCCTCAAAAAAAGTCTGAACTTTTGGGGAAGAGGGTTTGCGTTGCAAGGGCTCCAGGTCAGCTTTCTCCGTGCAGCCAGAGTGATTGATTCCCACCCCACAAAATAGTGTTAGTGTGTCAGTACCCTAAGCCAGCCAAACCTAGCTTTTGGCCTGTGTCCTTGAGATGAGAAAAGTTAGAAGCATAGCCAAAAATGCTGCATTGGGGGAGGGGGAGTGGCCTCTAGTTTTGGAGGACACGTTATTTTTATGCATCCTCCCCTCTCCCCTCTTTTCTTTCTTATATTCTTTTTCTTCCATCCTGTTCCTATTGATCCAATGGGTAACCAGAGAGGCACAGAACCTGGGACAGGAATAGAAATGAGAAAGCCCTTACTTGGCTAGCAGGCTCAAGTGCGTCAGACCAGAGAGGAGTAAATTGAGGAGAGGGAAGTGGAAAGACCTTTTCTTTCCCTGCAGATTTCTCCAGAGTTGTGTTCTCTTAACCTTCTGAGATACAGAGAAAAGAAGGCTCCCAGTATCTCCTTCCTTTGGCATTGAACGGGGATCAATCAGCAGGTGAGATGGAAAAGGCCAATGTTCGTTCTCTCTACCTCTCTCACACACACTCTTTCTCTCTACCTCTCTCTCTCCCTTTCCTTGTATTCATGTGTTCCCTTGCCAGCATAATTTTCTCCCCTATTTAATATCAGGTGGATAGTCAAGTTGCATGAGCAGTCAGGATGTTAATTGAAGTTAATGGGGTGCGTTCTGGACACATGGCTTCAGTTATGAGGAAACCGTTTAGAGAAGCTCAAATCAATTACTGACTCATGATGAAGGCTTCTCTCTTTGCCTTTACTAAGCCTGTTTCGTGCATCCCTACCAGCTCTTTAATTTTATTCTAAATGTCTTTTTAAAAAATCCTCCACAATTAACTAATCCCATGGGAAAGAAAGCTCAGTGCTGTTTGTTAATGCTACAAAATGCTTAGCAGCTGCAACCACAGGGAATAATAATATATAATAACAACAACAGCAATAACCACAGCAATGAAGCCCTGGCAGCTCTAGCATTTATCAAAGCACGGATTAATTAATTAGAATAAATTATTCAATAAATTATTTTTGGTTTTCTGCTTCATGTGGTGCAGTATTTTCTGATGGCCTGCAAAACATTGTGTTAACAGCCAAGCGTTCTCTTTCTAAAACATGCTAAGAACCTGCATTTTCCTCCTATGCCATGCTGTGGATCCTTCTGTCCATGAAATCCAGTCCAAAGCTATTTCCACAAACCAAAGGCCAGACATTGGTGGCCTTGAGGGGCGGGGGTGGGGTGAGAGGCAGTTCAACCACTTCATCAAGGCCCTGCAAAGCTCTGTTATAGGTCAGAGGAGTGCTCTTGTGGTCCTCAGACTTTTTAGGGGGTGAGAGGTCCTCCCTGGCAACAGTTTTCCTCCCATTATTACAAATGGAAGTTAATAAACTACAAAAGCTCCAGGGTAAATCTCCCTTTCTGGTGGAAAGCTCCCATCCATGTCCATACAAGCATTTCCTTCAGATGTAAATAGCAGACTTACCTGGATCAGATATGTAAGACAGATTTTATAAGGATGGGGGAGAAATTTATTAAAGTTCACATTTAAAAGTGAACCTACCTAACTCAGTTTTCAAAACAATACATGAACATAGCCATCATAAAATTTGGAGACATGTGAATTCTGAAGGATAGCTGTGTTTTAGTCCACATACGTTTTCAAAATTTGTGAATTTTGTAGGTTCACATTGGAATGCAAACCAAACCAAATTTCTCCCTCAACCCTAGTGAACAACCATCTACTTCTGAGCGACAATGTGTTTACTCAAACTTTGGGATTCCACTAAACCTGCTCAATCCTGCGCATGGATTGTCCTGTTTTGGCTACATATTAGCCAGCATGCAAATAGCAAGTTTTCTTTTAGTGTTTACCAGGGATGGGGAACCCATGTCCTTCCAGATCTTGTTGGATTTGCAACTCCCTTCAGTCCCAGCTAGCATGGCCACAGTGACGATGGGAGCTGTAGTCCAACAAGCTTCTGGAGATGTTCCCCTTCCCTGGTATTTGGATGATTCAATAATAATCCCAGAGGTCCCAGAGTGGGTCATTGTAGCATCACCCATTCTGGAGGCTTTCCCTTCTTGCTTTCTCGCTTCCACAGCTCTGCTTCCTCACCTCTTACCTTGCACATCCCTGGCACTGACACTCCTCTCTTGTATCTGTCCAACCCCCAAAGTGCTGACTCGTAGCAACAGATGTTGCAGATGACTGTGAGAGAAGGATGCCCTTGTCCCTGCGACCTTTCCTTGATGCCCTGCTGCCAGCATGCCTTACCTGTCCAAAAGAGCCTGCGCATGTGTCCAACTGGCAGCTTTCAGACCTTGCCTCATCATTTCCAGAGGGAAGGGGGAAAGGGATTGTACTAAATATACATAAACAAGCAACCCACTCTCAGCCTTCTGCTATCTCTACAATAAGTCCGTTTTATCCTAACTCTGTTATGATAAAATGCTGGATAATTCAACTTGATTGTGGATTGTTGAAGGTCCTGGGTTCAATCCTTGACAACTCCAGGTGGTGCTGAGTATGTCTCCTGCCTGAAAACCTGGAGAGCTGCTGCCAGCCAGGGTAAACTGAGCAAGATAGAGTAGTGGTTTTCAACCAGTGTGCCGTGGCACCCTGGGGTGCCTGGAATGATGGTCAGGGGTGCCTCGGGCAACACTGGCCTCTGTCCCTCTTTCTTTCCCTCCTTCTTCTGATGCCCTTTTGCGTCTCTGCCTTCCAAAGGCTTGCACAACTGTTTGTTGCAGCAGCCCTGGCTATAAGCTCCACAGGCAAATGGTGCCTCTGGGAGGCACCTCTCTTTGGGGCAGGGGCGGGGGGAGCTCAGAGACCAAGGATGGCAGCAGCAGTTGCCTGGAGGACTCCCAAGGAGAGGGAAGAGGGGAGGGGAGGAGGCTGAGGGAACACTCCACAAGGAACGGTGTTTGGGAAAGGGTGAAGGGCTGCCAGCTCTGCAGTCAAGGGGTGACATAACTGGGCTCCTGAGTTCCACAGGGGTGCCTCAGAAAGAATGTAGTTGGTTAAGGGAACCATGGACTCAAAAAGGTTGAAAACCTCTGAGATAGACCAATGGTCTGATTCAGCATAAGGCAGCTTTCTATGAGTTCTTAAATAAGAGCAGGGATGCTTAATTTGCATTTTTAGCCTATAGAAATGATTCTACTTTTCCTGCTTCCAAGCCCACATATGTGTACCTTGGCTGGTAAGGTAAAGGGACCCCTGGCCGTTAGGTCCAGTCGCAGACAACTCTGGGGTTGCGGCACTCATCTCACTTTATTGGCCAAGGGAGCCAGCGTACAGCTTCCGATTCATGTGGCCAGCATGACTGAGCCACTTCTGGCAAACCAGAGCAGCACACTGAAACACTCTTTACCTTCCCACCAGAGCGGTACCTATTTATCTACTTGCACTTCTTTGGCGTGCTTTCAAACTGCTAGGTGGGCAGGAGCAGGGACCGAGCAACGGGAGCTCACCCCATCGTGGGGATTCAAACCGCCAACCTTCCGATTGGCAAGCTCTAGGCTCTGTGGTTTAGACCACAGCGCCACCCATGTCCCTTCTACTTTGGCTAGTCAGGCCAAATAAACCCAAGTTAAAGCCGAGCCTAAGATTGGTGCTCTAGCAAATGAGTGGTTTAGACAAGGATTGTACGAAGGAAGCTAGGGAGGTAGAAACATTTCCTCAAGGGGACATCCCCATCAGGGGTTGTCAGTCTTGGCCTTTTGG